GAGCACAGATAGCCCTTTGTGTAGCTTTGTGCATAATTAAAAACAAACAAACAAACCAATAGCTGGGCGAGTATATACTTTCATATTTCTGTGTATACTAATTGACTAAGTTCTTGATCACAATGGCCTACGCAATCTTAGTTTCAGTTCGATGCCATTTTGAAAGTGCGGAGGTTTTAATTTTCCCAAGTTCCCGTTGAATTTACATCTTAAAACGGTTAAATTCAGATTATTTTTTTGGCAATGATTGTTGAAAAGAAAATCGAAGCCAACAAAATGGACTTCCCATAATTCCTAGCAAAGTACGCGTACTCAGTCTGCTATTGCACAGTTTTTGTACGATGTGCTCGAGCAAACATACATCCTACATCCTCTACTATTACTTTGTCACGTTATCTACTAACTATGCTATATTTAAAAAAGATCCCAACTCCCATTTTTTTCTTTTATAACAATATGTTAATTAAGGCCCCTATTTAAGAATGCGCAGGCATGGCGAGAGATAGGATGTGCGATATAAATTCAAAATAACATTTTTTTCGTATTTGTGCCGAGATAGAAGTTTCGCTATGAATTTGCAGTCCATATAAAAGCTAACTTAAAGTATCGTGGAGTTGAGAGTCCATACTTAATTAATCCGGCAATGTGTGTGTGTGTGCGCGCGCGCTTTACACATACAAAACCGAGATGTCTAGTGCGAAATTTAAAACAAAAGTGGTTACTAATAGTAATAGCAGATTAACCATAAACTTATCGAAATTTCATGAATGACGAACTATATGTAACAATAAATAAATAAAAATCATACCATATGTGAATAAAGTACAAAAAAGGGTATTTTTAAAAGAGTTAAGTCTTGTGTGCTTTAATTCATAACGTCTCAATCCCTACTACCATCTACCGTCTGCAGACAATTGTCTGTACGATAGTAACTCCTCAAAAAAAATTCTTAAATTTTATAAGTAAGCTGTGAGAGAATTAGTTTTGAAAATCCCAATTAATTTCTACCATTGTTAGATATTCAATCTCCACCTTTTATACATTTATTACCAAATGTGAAAAACCCTAAACCCTTACTTACATAATTCAGTAATAATTATAAACCCATCCCCCTCTTTCCAATACCACACCATTCAAGTATAAACCGGGCAAACTGAGACAAGCCCAGTTACCTGAAGTTAACCCTTCCGGCCCGGTATTCTAAACAACTCTTTCTTCCAATACAGTACTAAAGTAATATAAAAAGCTGCTAGTTATATTATTTAAACATACTTGCAATACTAGAGTCCTCTTAAGTGTACGAACTTTAATTATCTCCCAACCTTTATTAATTTTCAATTTATCTTCTAACAACTGAACATTACCTATAAATGAAGTATTATTGTTGCAAACAGTTGAATATTTTTAAATTGGGAAATGATTATTCCTTTTAAAAAGGCATACGGACTACACTCCTTGGGACCAAGGATGTGAAAGTTAAATTTTGTCTTGTATCAAAAATACCTAATTGCAATGTGTCTTCTACGAAAACAAAAGCTACAGCTAAATCATATAACACAAAACATAAACGTATTCTAAAATCTAAGATTAATTGTTACTATTGTAACGCTAGGAGTATTAGAAATAAAATTGATGAGTTCAAAGCAGTTGTGGAAACTGGGGATTTTGATATTATGGGTATCACTGAGACTTGGTTGGATTTGAACAGTTTTGACGACAGAAATTTTTCTGAAATACCAGGCTATAGATTATTTACTAGAGATAGAGCATTGAAAAAGAGGTAGGAGTAGCTTTATATGTGAGTAGTGAATTGCATCCTGTTGAGTTAGAGCATATTAAAGAAAATAGCATTCAGGTTGAGTCGGTTTGGGTTAGTGGGTATAAAGGGAAAAGTCTTGTAATTGGGATTCGTTATAGACCACCAGGTCAGAATGTACAACTTGATGAGAAATTGTATAATGAGATCAGAATGGTAGCTGAAAAAGATGTTGTTATTATGAGAGATTTTAATTTTGAATCTGATAGTAAGAGGGATAGGTTTTTGGAAATTGTTCAGGATACTTTTATACACCAACTGGTGATGGAACCTACAAGAGAGGAAGCTATATTAGATTTAATATTAGCATCCAATGTGAATATGATAGACAGTTGTGGTTGTTGAGCATTTAAGTACAAGCAACCATTGCACTATTAGGTGTGGGATTTTACTACATGTAGAATTGAAGAAGAATATTACCCTGATTCCAAATTTCAGAAAAGCCAATTTTGATGGAAATGAGACATGATCTGGCTTCTGTAGATTGGGATAAAGAGTTGGGAGGGGATCTTGAACAGATGTGGGAAACATTTAGGGAAAAATTGATATGCATATAGAACATACATATTCCCTACAGAAAGAAAAAGGGCAACGGAGTGGATTAAGCCAAAACTTAAACTTACTGGAAACAGTAAGGTATTGGAGGAATATGAGAAATCAAGAGAGCTGGTTAAAAAGGAAGCTAAAAGAGCAAAAACTGTATATGAAAGAGGATTGGCTGAGAGAGTTGCAGAGAATGCCATTCCTAAAGTTAGGAACATTCCTTTAAACTTGAGAAACACAAGAGACCAAATAAGGGTAATAATACACCCCTTACCCTTAATCCTGTAGACTCCCAGTGGAGCATAGGGCCGCAACAACACCTCGCCAACGGACTCTGTTCTGGGCTGCTCTCCTCAGCTGGGTTCACGCCATTCCGGCGGCCTTCGCGTCACTCCCGACCGATCTCCTCCACGTCTGTTTTGGCCTCCCAGCTTTTCTTTTCCCTTGTGGGTTCCAGTCCAAGGCCTGCCTTGTAACGTTGTCAACTGGTTTTCGCAGTGTGTGTCCGATCCAGCCCCATTTTCTTCTCCTGATGTCTTGGCTAACTGTGTTCTGGTTGGTCCTTTTCCATAGCTCTGTGTTTGAGATCTTCTCTAGCCACCTGATGTTTAGGATGTGTCGCAGGCACTTGTTGATGAACGTTTGTATCTTGTTGGTGATGGTGTTCGTAACTCGCCATGTCTCGGACCCATACAGGAGGACGTAATAATACACATGTTAGTATAAAAATACTCATTGGTATTTTCGGGCAAAACTGATTTCCTCAAAGATATTAGGTAAGTCAATCCACTTTATAATGGGAGGATAAGCAGGATATATTACGAAATAATACCGTATTCAACAAAGTTATCAAAGTATATTTAAAGAAATAAACAGACTGGACACAATGTGTGGCACGAAATGAAAGCAATGTTTATTTATCACCAAAGCAAAAGCACAATGCGACTATTTGGTACTTGCATTTTGAATCTTGCGCAGTTGCCCTTTACTGGATTCATGAATTGATTAGCTTTCTTCCCTCAAAATTTCTTCCTTTTAATCAACTAATTTAAGATTTGGCGCATAAATCACGAATGTTGACCCGATATTTTCAGGTTAACTTATTTCCGCCCTACTGTTAGATTGTTCCACATAATAACAGCAGGTTCAGACAAGAAATCTGGAAATAATCTAAATTTGAACATTTGACCGAGTTTTAAGCAGTGCAAAATAAACAAACTGGACGTATTTATAGTCAAGGATAAACACTATTTATTACAACACAACAACAACAAACAGTGTTCATACTTTCATAGACAAGTAAACAATTGTCTCTTCTGGATAAGTGAATCGATCAGCAGTTTTCTTTCTCACAAGATAGGCCTATGTCAAATTGAACACTTCTATAACCAGATAAAACTGATAAAGAATGGATGCTTTTTTCATGCAAGAAAGCTCATATTCTTTCTCTTGCCAGGGCGTTGCCACGTGACTGGTCATTCTTTCATGGTATTCCATGGTTGTAACATCCATTTGGTCAGCCAAGGATGTTGTAGCCGTTGACTCTTACTGCAACAATACCGCTAACATAATAGATGTTATCTGCTGTAGAGAACAAAGACGCAAAAGCAACTTCAGTGGTTTTTCTATACCATATTTATGCCAAAAATGTATAGAAACAGAATAAACGAAATTTGTAAACATTCATATATTAATACAAGCAGATAGAAACATATGATATGCCTACACATTACAACTTTATGAAGATCTATTGAAAACATTTAAATATAATATTTCTTACTTAACGGGAAACACCAATTTACCATCCCTAATGACTAGCACTAAATGTGACTGGTCATTCTCTTTCAAACATTCGAGAAGCCGTGATTTCGAGATATCAACTGGCATACCATAATAGGACATTAGCTGTCGTATGCATTCTTGTACAATATGAAGTGTAAAAGTTATTCCTTTCACAAGTGGTTTATTCAGAGGATAACAAGGAACAGAAGGAGCTAGAACTGAATCAACTTCACGATTTCATGCGAAAAATCATAGACTTACAATATAATTACGAAAATTTTTAAAAACTTAGATATTAATATGAGAAGATAGAAAACACAAGGTTATGTTTGCATACTACAAATCGTTGAGAGCCTTTGTTGTACAATTGTTGAAAATAAAATTGAGATACTATGTGAATAACAAAGCTAATTCGATAAGTTTTAAAATAATACTCTAACACAACTAAAGGGCTTAGGTTTTTACACCTTCTAAACAGAAGGATAAAAACAAATTAACACAATTTGTACTGTTATTTTTAGGATAATAAACATGACAGTTTTAATATGATAAATAAATAATTAATTTTACTAAAGTAATATTGCGACACCCATTTAAAATATATTTATTTTTTACATGTCAATTTTTATTTTATGTCACCTGCACTTTTTCCACTAACTTTATATTACTATTAGGTAGTATATATTTTCAATTTCATCAACCTGGTGACATACAATTTTAAGATGGCGTCCATAGCTGGACGTTCGGTGGGTGTATTAGAAAGGACTTTGTTTTTAGGCCCGCGAATACCTAATGAAGTAAAAGTTTTAGGAAATAATCTGTTATCAGTGGACAGAAAAATCTTCAGGTCGCTTCTAAAATGTGAGTGGACATCTTCGTTTGAAAAGTGAATTTATACTTTTATTTAACTCTGTTTAAAAATTAAATTGTAATTTGTATTATAAAGCACTACAGTACTGAGTACTGGCCTCCAGTGGCTCAGTGGTAAGTCTGAAGGCTTCTAGTTCTACCACTAAAAACCGGGTTTCGATACCCGTTAGTGGACACAGCACAGCTAGTCTGTTGTGTAGCTTTGTGCTTAACTACAAATAATAACAATAACTATTAGTATTACGCCTACTCCTAGAACTCGGTAGAAGTTAGAACTATTAATTATCAGTACTAAGTAAATACTAGTACTATTATTTAGTATTACTAATACTAGTTCAAATATTGGGCTAATAATTAGTAGTAATATCACTCTTAAAACTGACAATTTGTATTATTGTTTGAGAATAAAACTTTTCATAAACAACAGAAAATAACCTACTTTTTCGGTTTCATGTAGTATGTTTACAGTTTAATAAGGGTCACACATGGTTTTATTTATAAGTTTAATAATAATAGTAAATAAGCTAGCATAAATTTAAGCTATATAACTTATAACTATAAGTTAATTTTGCCATTTCTGGCATTTGATCCAAAAATATATGTTTGAGGCAGAACTTGTAGGGTTATAGCCAAAGTTAATATCTTGTATTTTTACCACCAGGCTTTTATTTTTTTTATGTTAATTAGATTTTTAGAATATTACTAATAACAATTTATTGTATTGGTCACAAGTTTGAAAAATTAATTAAGGTTATCAGGTTAATAAACAAGGATTGACCACACATTTTATTAGTATTTTGCCATTTCATAAATGAAAGATAATCAGATAAGTTATAGAGTTATAAATTTATATTGTTTTACTAGAATTATCACTAGCAGGATATCTTGTATTGGGAGATCTTAGTAATCACTGATATAATACAGGTTATTACTGCCTATGGCTGATTATGATGATATTGTACAAAGCATGCACTCAACTTTGTAATAACAGATGTCTGGTGCAGTTTGTCTTTTTTTGTTTCGTTAGTGGATTTTGATGGGGAAAAAACTTTCATATCAGACCCTTTAGGTGGTCCCAGAGATTTCATTGTAGGTTAAGATTTGGGCTCTCTCTGAGTGAACAATTCAAATATATTTATATACATTTTTGTTTATCAGTGTTGTTTATATTCTGCAGCATGGATTATTATTCTGCTGAAGCAATACTGTAGCTTTCTGATAAAAACAAAAAAAAAACATTTTCCATGTCCCTCTGAAATGGTTTCATTTTTAATGTCTTAAAAAGTCCTTGTTTAATTTGGTATGCAGAATAAGCAAACACTTTACATTAACTCCCACTCAGTGGACAAGCTGCAGTCTTTACCATAACATCTCCACTGTAATCCTTGAAACATGGTGGAAATGTTCATCTGAGTGTCTCTAGATCCACGTTTGGCCATAATTTTTAAACTTTACGATTTGGCTTTCATCATTGTACAAAATACTAAATATGTCGGGGTGATTCCATGTTTTTGGGTTTGAAATCAAGAAAACAGTGCTGATAATTTTTTGAGTGATAGATAGTTTGCACACATTCCAACATCATAAGTTGTGCATGATCACATGTAGCCACTTAGTGTGTAGCTAAGCCTGTAAATTGTTGCAGAGGAGATTTATGCAATATTTTTCACACTGCTATCAAGTGAAAATTTTTAGCTGTTATATTAACAAGCTCTTGATATAACTAAAAGTGTTACACAGTCATTTGTGGGTGGCCAGACATTGTGGCTAATTCACTTTTTGATTTTCATGACTCTTAATCTCTCCTGTCATATCTTTTTAATTCTGAATGTTACTGTATCCTGGGAACAGTTCAACAGTACTAATCAGTTTACTGTTTCTCTGTAATTATACTCACTGAGATTGTTTGGTGAGCTTGCTGGTTGGACAGTGCATATGAACTTTATTTGATGAAAAGTTAGCATAAAAATAGGTGACAATAGGTCATTTGGCTCATTGTGGTCACCCATCGGAGAAATAGCCCAACTTAAACATAACATCTCAAAATTATTCAATAAAAACATTAAAGGAGTTTGAACTGGCAAATATTTATAACAGGGTAGTAATTTTGTTTAATAACCAAGTTTGATGTGGCTTACTTTTGCTCACATTTTTACTAATTTCCTTTAATATATATATATATAGGATTTATAAACAACTTTATCATTCTACTAGTTCAAGAAACCTTCCATGGGCAGTTTGATCAAATCACTAACAACTTCAAACACTTAAATTAGGTCACTTCTGGTTCTTCTTATTCCATAGAGAAAAAGTTGTAAATTATCAAATCTCCATAGCTTAATTAAAACCAGAAATCATTTGGATGTGAAGTGATGATAACCTTCCAGTTCCTAAATTCATATGTTTTTTAAATAGATCCCAGAATGCTATTTTCTCTTTTCACTACTTCCAAACATTTAATCAATCATCATATTCAAATCCTTTTTACTTTCCTTAATGCTAATAGTTCTTCCACAAGATTAACTCATTCAATGAGACTGTCTATATCCTTTTGCATTAAGGAAGCAGTTTTCAAAGAATCAGCCTTAAAAATCAGTTTAGTGTCATCAGGAAATTTAAAAATCTTGTGTACCAGTAGTATGTATTATTGGCATAGATAATAAACAATGAAGATAGACCCTTGAGGGGGTCCCAGTAGTCATGTTTTCCCAATCAGAATTGTGTACATTTATTACAACCTTTTATTTTCTTTGTTTAAATTGGTGTTTAATGCACTTTTGAGTTTTCCTCAATTCTATAAGAAGTTGATGTACTAATTGACTTCCTGTGAAGAACCATGTCAAAATGTTTATAGTTTACCTACTTTAGCTAATTCTAAATTAAACTTTTATTATAAAACAGTTTTTTTATGTGTAATGCTGACTGAGTCTGGTGATAATCCATGAACAGTGTTATGGTGTTTGTGGCATTCTATATTTATAATTATCTTCAAAACTATAATGAGATGTTTGTTGTTTTGAAGAGATTTTTTTTTACATGTTAGTTTTTGTTAATTTTCTTCTCAATAATTATATTAGTTGTGATTGCTTAGGTATTTTATCTAGGTACTAGACTACAAGTTATCAGTAAATATAGTATTAGTTGGATATGATTTTTGCATTCAGTGTTCTATGCAAATTATGGATAAGTGTAATTTATTGAAAAATTTTTAATATCGATATAAAAGTTCTTAAAGCCTCCAACATTGGTTGTTTTAAATATCTGTTGTGCAGTGTTAGTTGCTCACTTTGAAGGGAAAACTGTGAGAGAAGAAGAATACCAGAACATCAGAAGTTCAGTAACAAATGGAAACCAGATTGATTTAATTTACAGTGGGCTATATGCTCTCTTAAGAGCTGCTCTTAAGTTTCCTGAATCAGGACTGAAAAAAGAGGTATGGTATGTTATATAGATTAATATTTATATGCAGTTGGGAACCATTGTACTAAGTTATATTTCAATTTGAACCATTGCTTAGAGAAAACTATGTGGTTGTTTAATAATAAATGAGCTGTGCATTCATGAAACTGTGAAGTTGGATCAGTAATAAATTCACATGACTGAAGGTAAAGTGTAAAATGAACTAGTGTTAACCCATGTTATGAGCTTGATTAGGATTAAAGTTTCATGACCTTTTTTTACAGTTATATTCAAAATGTGATTAAACTATTTTATTGTCACTGTGTGCCAATAAATGTAGCATCAAAACATAGTTTATAATTCAAATTTTTATGTTATCTAAGTTTAAGTTCTTAATTTCAAAAGGAAATATTTATATAAATCCTCAATCTTCACCTTTCTGTGTCAGTGGCACATCTGAGCTATGACTTCTCAATTAAAGATTTTCTCTGTGTATTGTTTAGCAATTTATTGTGGATGTGACTTTCATCTATTGATATATCTTGCTTCTTTATATCATATCAGTTCAATTTAGTGGAGTTAAATTATGGTCTGAAATACCTAGTAATTTAAAAGCTCTTAATATTTTACAATTTAGAAAGCTCTCAGGATGTTATTTTTAAATCTGATGAAGGAGTATGTTAATATATATTTATTAAAGTTATTTTTAAGCCCCATGGTAGGTGATAGTCTAGATGATTAATTGGTCTTTTTACTATCCTGCATTTAAAATAGTTAATGTTAATCATTAAATTAATTTTGTAACTTCCTTGCAAATAAAAATATTTTTGTTGCTTAATAGTGCTTGCCTACATGACAGACTTACTGCTTATAAAACGTAACATTCAATGTATTGAATTTTCTAAATATTTACCTCAAGGAAATGAACGGGCACTAAAGAATTTTGAATTAAATCTTAAGTAACAAATTTAAAAGAAATGATGGAGCTTGTACCAGTGAAAAAAACCCTACATGACTATACAAGAGACGTATATTAAAAAGATGCGAGGTTAAGTAGTTCAATAATATTTTCCTTTTATTGTTTTAGGTGTTTAAAGAGGATCTTCGAGAACTCAAGTACGTTATTTAGCTGCTCATTTTTAATCCATATTGTATTCTTTTATTCTTGTTACCTATTGTATCAATTGTTTCAAGTAACAACTTTAATATTTTTACCTTGTATATTTTTATGATGTTAAGTATAGCAGGGTGATTGGTGGAATTTTGTAATTGATTAATTGTCGGGCTCATTAAATGATTACATTCCACTGATTGATTACTATCGCATGAGACTTGGATAGTTAGAATCATCAAAAATAATAATAATCAGAACATTAATTGATTAAGCTCAACAATCTTGACTTAACTGAAATTAAAATAATAATCAGTTGTTTTATATGACATTAACCTATGTAATCAGTGTTCATAGTTAACTTATTATGTTGATTAATTGGGTTAACCATTCAGCTTTAATATTAAGTCATAGCATATTATATTGACATTATGTATATTGTTTCATGTTATATATTTTTTCTCTGTAATTTAAATATTTGCTTATTATTCTCTGGATTGTGTGTTACAAGTTTAGTTGGTAAGAATCAGTTTTTGTATTGTTTTAATAATTGAACATTGGCTGAATTAAGGATTTTTCTTAAGTGAAGGGTAACACTACTCTAACCCTTTGCATCCAGGCCTGGTTGTTTTATGTAGATCATGACCTTTTAAATAGTTACATTTCAAATTCAATTAACTTCATTTTGAATATATATCAATAAATTAGCATGAAAATGTAGCTTATAATAAAAATGTTTATATTAGCTAAGTTTTAACTTCTTAATTTGACTAAATAAATTAGTCAAAAATGTTGCAATCTTCACTTTTCAGTGTCGTGACAAGTCTGAACTCTGATTTCTAACATCAGTTTCCATAAAGTTAGAAACACACACTATGCATAATTACAAGCAAGAATCTTAAACTTCCTACCTTATTGATTTGCTGAGACATAAATATGTTTGTCAAACCCACAAGAGAAGCCCCTCCCCTAAATCTCTGGCTTTCAAGATTATTTGCTAATTATCTATGCAAGGCTGAGGGATATTTTTATAACCAAAAGAAGAGCAGATTCACCTCTACACAAATGAGGTCTGTCAAACAAACCTTAGTAAAATATAACACCAAGAATTGTATGAGCTCAAGCTCATGTTTAACATGAAACCTCACAAGCACATAGCTTCACATATATGAGGTCTGTCCATTTACGTGAGCCCATGAACAGATGGTTGTGGCTACTATAGAATTTATAAATTAACCTGTTGAAATATAATAAATTGGTGGTTTAAAGTCAAAAGAGTCGTAATGAACTAGGCCATTATTATAACTTTGGAAAGCTTCAAAAGAGTCATAATGAACTCGGCCATTGTTATAACTTTGGAAAGCTAAAAGGAAACAGCTGTATAACATGGTATATACACACACACACTCAGAGATGTACAGGGAAGTTCTAACATTTTGATTGTTTTTTGGATATCTCAACCACTTAAAAGAAAATCAGCCATCTCCAGTTTCATCAAGAAATGCCTTAAAATTGAGGTATTCACTCTAATTGACTAGTAGTCTACCATTAAAATAGTAGTAGTACTAAATGCACTTTACACTTTACTTAACAATGTGAACATAGTGGACTAGTAGTTTGAGGTGTGTGTGCCAGTGTAAAATATCCATATAAAGTAGCTTTTTTTTATTGGCTTCATGACCTCAGAGATCTCTTTTTCCAGGTTTTTCATTTTATCTTTTTTAAATAAAGATCTAGAGCAGATACTCAATGACCTTGCTAAACCAAAGGAAGTAGTGAAAAAAAAATTCAATGTACAAAGTCAGTTGTGTATATGGAACTCTATAGATAAACCAATTTTATGTGTACGGTTCAAGGTCCATAAACACACAAACTCCTCAGCCTCATGAAAGAACATACATTTAGCCATAGCATAATGTACTGATCATGTAGGTTAGTTGATAGATGGAAAACACTTTTTATGGCCTGACAGTATACATAACAAGAATATTAAAGAAGCCTTCCATATTCAAATCAAGTAGAAAACCTCAACAGACGAACTCTGTTAAATATGTGATTTCCTAGGGTAAGCCAAGGTCATTGACATTGCAATGAAATTTTTAATTATTTTCTCTTTATGTACTTTTATATATTATATATTAACCCACCCTCTCATCTGTATCTTAATAAGCAACTCTAAAAGTCCACATTTCACATTATATTATTTGAATTGACCAAATGAACACCTTTGCTGTCAGATCAAAACATCTGCGAGCAAGTGTAGCAGTCAAATTTTCCAAGATGAAACATTTTTCCACATGAATTTCCTTTTAAACTCATAATAGAATGATTACCATCACTTTTACTTTCATTATAAGTTTGGTTTCTTGTTTACAGATATTTGAGTAACTGAAAGGATAAGAAAAGTTTCATGTATATCAATGTAAGGTATGACTAGTGTGTACGCTACAAAAACATTTTCTTCTTTCTTCGGAATCATTAATTTTTTATGTTTATTCGTGAATTCTTTATCTTTCATGTTTCATATTGTTATCTAGCAAAGATAGAAGATTTACTTTATTTAATGTTTTTTTTCACTTGCTTTTTTACAGGATTGCAGATGATCATATAACAGATCTGGTCAGCATTGTGTTTGGATCAAGGTAAAAGTTCTCTATTGTTTTCACTTAAATACACTTCAGGCTTTCCACCCTGGTATGTTCATGAAGTTAATTATTGGCTATATACAGGATCTTTAAAGAAACATTAATAGTAATCATCTATATATATTTACTGTATTTTCACTCAGAAACTAAACCAATCATGATTTTTATTGTTTCTGATTCCTGATTCTCAGATGATGCCATGTATTGTTGTAGTATCATTACAACAGTTTATCCTATTAGTCATTAAGTTTGACAAATTAGTGTGCCAGACTGTGAATCCAAGGGTTCATGGTTTGTGTCACGCTATCAAAAACTTTTGCCATGCAATTTGGGGACCATGGGTGCATTGTAAAAAGTGACAATCAAATCCTACTATTTGGTTAGATAAAAACAGCCTAAGAGTTGGTTGTAAATGTCATTAACTAGTCTATTGAATCAAAATTAGGGATGGTAGCACATTGAGATTAGTGTAGATTTGCTCAAATTCCAGCAAAAAAAAAACACAAGGAAAAACAAGTTAGAAAAATTCACACCCACATGGGTTGTGGGAATAGAACTATTGAAAGGTGACCTTGAGTTAAAGTACTCTTTGTAAGCCAAATAGCAATTAACTAAGGAAGTATTTCTTTGTAGCTTATTCTCTCTCTCTCTCTTTTTTTTGTATACGTGCTAGTGTAATGTAGCTACCTAATATTACAAAAGTATTAAGCTGAAATAGCTGTTGGTTACAGTTTATATATTTTGAACAAATCTTATTACAATGAATTTGAATGAAGTTGATTTTTTGGTTTCAGGAGATGTTTCCTTGAAAAAGCATGCATTGAGAATGCACCTCACTTTCCTCATTTGCAACAGTGTCGCTGGAGAGTTGATGTTGCCATATCAACAAGGTATATTTTTTAACAGTTATTTACAGCTACTTCTGACAAACATGAGAGAAGTTACAGGAAACGAGCATTGTTTTTTAAATAGATATGATTGACATATCTTCATTGACTCTGTGTATGTGTTTGATTTTATTCTGTAAATTCAATATCTTAAAGTCCTAAACTAAGACCATTTTCGGAGATGTTAATATATTTTAATGGAATGTGTTTCAAAATGAAATTTTATTCTTTGTATTGGTTATATTGGTTTCTGGATACACTTGAATACTGTCTGTAAAGATGATGTAAAAGAAATAAAGATAACTATTAACATTTAATTATAAAATATTTTAAACCCAAAAGTGCTTTCTACTGTTCTTATTTTGTAGTTCTTTGAATCGTGTACTGGAACCGTCAGTATTAATGAAGATAGACACCAGTGATGGAAAAGAACATACATTCGAGGTTTGTCTTTCTTCTATTTAACTTATGCATGTTAAAGATTGTTGATATTTTTTTAAACTTGCAGAGGTGCAGTTTCATGTATTATCTATGATATTGTAAAAAATAATGCAACTTAAATGATACTTTAAGGTCTTTTATGCTTTTTATTTATGATGAGTTATACCAGTATGTAATCATTTGTTTTAGTGAACAGTCATTGGTCATGAGTAAAAGAAAAATTTCCTTCAAATTGATATATGTTTTGTTACTACAGCTTATTTTTGTTATTGAAGGCAATAATATTTTGATTACTAAGTTTATGTTGTGTTTAGTATAACATTACATGAATGTTAATATAACTTTTTCTCAGATGCAACCCGCTAAGTTTCATGAGCTTCGGTTTGCAGTAGCTAGTTTATTAAAAGAAATGGAAGACATGGAGAAAAGGAACGTGATGAAGGCTCCTGTGTGATGATCAGTCATCTTTAATTATTAGAATTTTTAAGATGTGTATCGTGTTCTCATTAAGTGGAGGATGCTGAACAAGTATTACATTATTTTTTGTTTTTTTTTAGTTTTATTAATCAGTTTAATACCTTTAGGTTGGGGAAGTTGATTTATGATCATTTTCAAGATATTTATTCCACTTTAATAAGAAATGTAAAATAGATCAATTTTTCTAACTGTAATGTACAGAAAAACAAAACTGCTAGTTACTAAACACAATTATAAAACTTTTTTTCTCTCTCTCACTCTGTATAAATATTTGCAGTTCTCAACATGGATGCTTCTTTATAAATGTTGGTTAGTTGCGCATAACATAACAGCTTGAATCCTTTGCTTTTAACTATAATTATACAGAATTATAAATTGAAACCAAAATTAAAGTTGGCTAGAGAGTTGTTAAAATCAGAAAAATGAGCACCCTCTAATTTATTACGAAAAATACTTTATACACAATTCATCAAAAGCATTGTTACATTCTTTCCGACTTAAATTTTTTTCAATTTAGATAAACCAGAAAGAAAAAATTAGGAAGGATATTTCTACATTTTGTTTTGTGTTAAAATAAATTAATAAAATTTTTTTAACAAGAATGATATAACTGAAGATAAAATTAATAACACATATATTCAGGCCCATGTATAATGTTTGAAAGGGGGGTTCTAATTTGTGAGATCAAAAGCACAATCAAGCTAATGTTTTGTGGTTCTGAGGGCATGCAACTATTTCAAGCCACAAAATGTTAATGCTTCATCAGAATAATGTAGACCATATTGAAAAAGTAGCTGCACTGTAACTATATAAGCATAGATGTTTTACATCACGAAAAATGGGGGGGGGGGG